CCTCTCCCGGAGTCTAGTTGCGAACGGCCAGGTTTAGCGCGCTCCAGAGCCGACGCACGGGGCTCGTCGTACGAGGTTTGCGTATCAAAATGGCGGCATTGGCGGTGGCATTTTCGCAGCAGCCGACTTAAATGAAAACGTGCGATCGAATATGCGATTGGAGCATGTTGATCGACTATGACGAAAGTAATTTGCTCTCACCCCCCCCCCTCAAATCTAACCATCCTCCTCCTCACCCCCCAATCACGTCCCGCGCCGCACAACTCACCTACCTCACGTACCTCAAAAAATCGCTTTTCTTGAAGAATTCGTTAATGCGCTTAGTACGGTCGAAGGCCGGTCGGCAGCCGACTTTGGTAAAGGAGCGCGATCGCGGTCCCGATGCCGCGGTCTCGGAAACATTCAAGGACGGGGAGAAAAATTTGTCGACCGTAAGACGAGGTTGAGATACAGCCGGCCCAAGGACTTTATAAAGTTACTGAAGAGCCTGGGCTTACAACGACTGTGTAGGTAAAAAGGACGGGCCGGTATGTGAGAATGAATTATTTATGGCGAACAGTGGTACATTGCGAGGCTCGTACGTGTTGGGAATTGAAATTTCGCTGTGTACGTCGTAGGTCGCAAGTGGCCGGCAGTAGGACCGCGAGTCCTTTACGAGCTCGTTCGACATTAGCGGCACAATGTGTTTGTTAGGCAGTAGCGAAGCTGGTACAATTCATGGGAGCACGTGAGCCGACTGAACATTACGATTATCGGCGAGTGCGCTTTATTTTGCTTAAATTCCTCGTGTGCGGCGAGCCTCGCATCTCTCCCAATCGACCCCCTCCTCCCCTCTAATGCCTATGCGAGTAGACGATGCACGTCCAAATTAAAATCCAAGCGAATTATTGAGTAGTCGAGGCATCGGTTTCCACTAATCGATTCTATTCCGGCTGGAAGAACATTGTTCGGTCGAGCGTTTCTTTCGCACGGCAATAACAAATTCTCCTCTACGGCACTCTATTAACGGTTAATTTTGTCGTTGATGTTGCTGCTATTGCTACTGCTACTACAACTGCTATTACTGTTACTGTTACTGTTACTGTTACTACCACTACTACTACCGCTGATATTATTACTACATCGTCAGAGTTTAAAAGTCGATAATGCGAGTGTGCGAGGTGGTGAAGAAGCGCAACTAGGGGGCTAGAAATTTGAAAGGACGAGACGGTGCGATCCGATCGTCAGCGAAGGTGAACGATTTTTGAAAGTCGACGAGGTCAAAGGGCTGAACGAACAAAGTCATCGACAAGTTGCAAGGAGACATTATGGTTCGGACGGTATGTGAAAGTACAGCTGGACGGTGGTAAGCGGTGGCGAGGAACTTTTGGGGCCGCGAATGCGAGAACGTCTCGGGTACCGATCGATCAACCGGTTGGAAGGTCGTATTGTCGTCAGCGAGAAATTGCGCGTCCTTGGGAATGAAGCGAGTGACGCGTCGACGACGGGAAGCCACCGTTGGGAACGTCGACTCGGGCTGATCCGTTAATCGAGGAATGCGGAGGTCAAGGGCCGCCGAAAAATAGATCAAAGATAATTGAACAAAGGAAGCGATAATAGTGCACCTCCTCGCTCTCTCCTTGGTCCAGGCACTTTAACGACCGTGGCACTGTCACCGGCACCGATATCGGCTCCGTCTCTTTCCTCCTCCTCCCCCCCCCCCTCCGTAACAGGTGTGCGACGTTCGAGTTACGTATCACTCCCTGCGAGCACCGACATTATCCGCGGATCGCGAGCTTCCGTCGTCGCTCCTACTCCCCCCACCCAACCCCGATCAATCGCATCTCTTTTTATTATTTAAACCAACCAAGACTATTTTAATGTCTGCTCAGCGTTAAGTACCTAACGCCGTAACGGCAACACTTTCGATGAGTCTACGTTATCGCTGGTCCGATTAATTCTGGGAGTTAGCCGAGAGCTTTCGAACGTGCTAGGAAGAAGAGGTAGAAGAAGAAAGTCAAGCGATTAGTTTGGGCGGGGGAATGATGGAATTGGAGAAATAAGGTTTTCGTAAAGTCCATAAAATTTAGTGATTTTTTCAGAGCCATCGATATGCTCATCGATAAGCGATAATCAACACCATAATCACCAACTGGATGCTTAAATTCATATTCTTCATAAAATTCAGTAAAATTAAAATACATCGCGAATTCGCGTGTATTTATAAAAGTGAGTGTACGTGTGTGCGTGTGCCTGTTGACCGATATTGTCATTTTGCTTTGGTCTCTCCTCTTCTTCTTCAATGCCAATGCTACTCTCGGCCTCTTCCGCTTTATTTATTATACGAAAGTCTGGTGTATACGAAGAGTAGTTAGTAGTGGACTGGAGGCAAACAGAGCATAATAATAGCTAACGAGTCATTGCTAAATGTCCTGGAAATTGCTGAAGACGAAGTGTCTCGTCAAACAAAACAAACAAAAAACAACAACAACAAAAAAATGGAGAGGAGGAAAGAATGCAGAACAGTTGTCTGAGTGGGCTGATTGCAAACATTTCATCAGGGTTTTGCCGTATGCTGTTGGGTAGCGATCATTGATCGCGCAAGCTTTATCAAAGTAATGGGCCCTTTTAATGCTGAAAGCGGTATAAACGATCGCCAGGGAGTCGCTCGCGATGGCGGCACTGCGACTCGATTGTACGGTTCGGTGGCTGATCCCTAGTGATCCCGAGTCCCACGATATCGATAGCGACAGGTGCCGAATTCGCAAATCCCTCTTTCCTTCCGTTCAATTGGAAAAGATTCGCGGTTGGGTGCAACAAGGCAGTGACGCAGTAGCGCCCACGCAAGGGGAGCCGCCGGCAAGGAAAAAGACCTAAGAAAAATCGGAAGGAACGTGTGCGTGCGTGCGTGCGTGTGCGTGTGTGCGTGTGCGAGTGAGTGAGTAAGATATGGGGGGAAGGGAGCAACTGTTTAAAGAGGGGCCGGAGCTGTCGCCGTTGTAGGTGGTTAGCCGAGGCTCGATCGCTCCCCCTCGAACGAAAGTCGAAAGAAGCGGTGGCGCTTCTTGTCTTCCGAGGGGCTGGCCCATGTCGTCCGTCCCCGGGTTGGTCGTTAATGCCGCCACGGTGGCGAGCGGGACGCGCACGATCTCGAGCACCGTAACTCGCTGTGTCTCACGACGAATGGCAGGCTGAGCGAAAGGAGCGTTGTTGTTTGGGACGAGGGCGTGAGGGGCCGGGGGGGGGGGAGCGAGGTGAGACATGAGGCAGAAAAGGGCATGAGGCCTGGAAGGCTGTGGCCGCCCGCGAAAAATCCAGGGCGAGAGGGGCGACGAGTCGCGGCCCGCGTTGGCTAGTGGGACGCGGGGTCGGATCGTAAGGGACGGGCGGGAGAGGCTGGTGGCCCCGAGCGGAAGACAGAAAAGAAGCGCGGAGGTGCGCGCGTGCGCCGGATTCGCGAACTGGTTTTTCGGACGCGGATCCTGACCCCTTTTTCTACCAGCCTCAGCGCTAATTCTCTTCTCGCACAATTGAAAAGCGACAGACGGCGAAGCAGACGGCGCTCGCTCGGGACGTTTCCAATTTATAAATCAAATAACATTAGTCCCGAATGTCTCCTATGCCAGTTACGTCTCCAATTTTATCAGCCGTAGCATCATGGACGAGAGCACGAGATTCCCGGGTGGTTGTGCTCGACCCGGCTGATGGAAGCTCGAACGAGCGCGAGTCAGCTGGAGGACGTCGAGCGCTTACGTGGGGCTAAGAACGGGGTGGACGAGGACGAGCAGAGTTTAACGGTGGGGGGATTCGAGATCAATAAGCCACCGGGGATCGACCGGTGCACCTGCATCACTGCCCCCCGTTGTTGGCTCAGCCACGGAATTCCAGAACGAGATCCAACGTGGCGATGGCGCGAGCCCCCGGAGTACACGCGAGCATCTTATGCGTGAAAAATTCGTTCGGCCGGTGAGGCGAGGCACGAGGTGAAGTCCGACGAGTAGACGGGACGAGACGAGACGAGACGAGACGAGACGAGACGAGACGAGACGGGAGGAGGTGAGGCGAGACGAGGTGAGGCGAGGCAAGGCACGACGTGGTGAGGTGAGGTGAGGTGAGGTGAGGTGAGGTGAGGTGAGGTGAGGTGAGGTGAGGTGAGGTGACGTGAGGCGAGGCGAGGCGAGACGAGGCGAGGCCTGGCAAGAGGTGACGGGAGGCGCGAGCGAGAGAAAAAACAGAAGAAGAAGCTGAAGAGGCAGGAATTGAAGAAGGAGACGAGAAAGAAATAGCCGGGCGCCGACGTATCCTGCGAGAGACGTACGCGTGAGGAAGAGAAGGAGGACGAAAGGAGCGACTCTCGCATAACCGCCGCGTTTGCTCGTTCGCTCGCGTGCGCGCGCGCGCGCACCAAGAAGACGCGGGTACATAACGCTCGAGCTCCTCAGCTTCGTACCAACTACACCGAGCACAGGCCTCTCCTCCGATAAACCTAGAGCGTAGGTAAGAATGGCAGCGCCAGACGGAAGAAAATGTCAAGCGCTCTGCTCCCTCCCCCGCCACCCGCCATGCAATCACACACTCGTTCCTTCACTCACTCTCTCGCCACTTCTTCTCGCTGTAACCCTCCCTTACGCCGCCGTTGCCCCGCTGCCCCCACCGCACGATGCTTATTCACTCACTCACTCACTTACGCTCTCACTCTCTCAGTCACTCAGTCTCTCGGTCTCTCTCTCTCTCTCTCTCTCTCTCTCTCTCTCTCTCTTTATTTTTTTCTCCATATATCTCTCTATCTCTCTGTCGCGCATGCACACGGCATCCCGCGTTCGTTCGCGATCGTGCGAATATCCGTGCACACGCATACGCACGCCTCGTCCGCGCCCTCCGGCGACGAGGAGGTGGAGAAGGTTGTGTTGGAGGAGGAGGAAGAGGAGGAGGAGGAGGAGGAGGAGGCGAGTGCTCGGACGGGGTGCTCTCTTTGAAAGCCGCAGCGCTGCCGTAGAGACGGAGATCGTCAGGCTACTCACCCAGAGCTCCGTTCCCCAGCTCATGGTTGCGCGGGGCCGGCAATCGTCCGTCCAGGTCGCGATGCCCGTGGCAGCAGCGCGCGTCTCCACCGGCGCACAGCTCGCGGCGACACTCTCACATGTAGCCAGGGCTGAATTTGAGCCCGGAGCCGCTCCTCGGGCACTCGGTGGTAATGGGGGCGCCGAGGCCGAAGCCCAGCATGGAACGGCGAACGCGGCGGTGGCGGTGGCGGTGGCGGTGACTCGCCGGCCTACGCGAGCATCCTCGGCAGGATCGCTCAGGGATTAACCACTGACTCTCGTAAGCGCGCGCGCGCGCGCACTCTGTGTCCTTTTATCGTGCTCGCGGTCTCGTCGCCGAAGCACCTACGCAACACCCAGCGACGCTCGTACGCTCGCTTCCTCGTCTACCTCGGCACTGCCCTCCTCCTGCTGCCGACCGCTGCCAGTTCCCTGGCCACTTACCGACCTTTCCACCACTGCGCCGCCGCCGCCGCTGCTGCCGTCTCCTTCTCCACCGCCGCCACCTCCGCCCGCCCCCACCCCCCTCGCCCGACCGTCCCGTACAACACCATCGCTTGGTTCCGCGCTCGTTCGCACACACGCGCACACACGCGCACTCACAGTCATTCGCTCATTCGCTCGCTCGCTCGCTCTCTCACTCTGGCTGCGGCTGCTCCACTACTTGATTAAGCACACGCACACGCGCACGCGCGCACAAAGAGTATTGGAAGGAGTGCGCGCGCCGCGCCCCGACGATGAGCTTCGCGTGTGGCGCGACATCTCGCGGTGGTGGCCCAAGGACCGTGAGCACAGAGGACGCCAGGTGCGCGCGAAAATTCGTGATGCGCTAACGATGATGTTCTGCTGCTTTTTTCCATCGGCTGACTTTTGGTGGACTTTTAGCGGAATTGCGGAAGATCCCGATCGTCGCGGCTGGCGGCGGAGTGTGCGGGCGAGGGGGAGAATAAGCTGGCCGATTCTAGTACGGTGACACGCGAGCGGCCTTGTGCATTGTTGTGAGGGAAAGAAGCGTGGAGGTCGCACGTAGCTGCTTCGCGACGTCGGGGATATTTATCGTGCAGCCGGTGAATTAAATATTTATTCATCAGCGAAGCGATTTTTTGAAGTGTGCGGACCAGCGTGACGAGCTGGGCGATCCGATTCCGTGAATTGTCTCGATCGCTTATGATGAATCAACGTGATTTTTATTATTTTCAACGATTGGTCAATTACACGAGGCCCAGTACGCGAATCTCCGCGATGGAAGAATTAAGTAATGGGAATTGGCGAGGTGATACCGGGAAACGAAGAGGTGTCGAGCTTACGCGCGACATTTAAAAAAATTGATTATTGGGATACGCGATATGGATGGTCTGCTGCTCCGCTGTTGCACAAAAGTTTTGGCGGCTCAACTTTTTACAGGATTAATTGTTAAAGAGGCGGTGAGATATTTTTTAAGAGTTTGGAGTGAATTTGAAGTTACGAATAGGTCGCGATTGTATAGTTTATCATTCTTCTAAGCATATGCGGCAGGTTAACGCGTAGACAAGTTGCCTCATGGAAATTGGCGATTCATTTGGATAAATAGAAAAGTCCAAAGCAATTGATTCGCTGTCATTTATCGTGTTGTTTGTCGTGCTGAGGTTAATGGTTCCGCGTGCTCGGCGAGCCGAGAAACAAGCAACGTTTCGACATTTTTCATGTTAACAATTAGCGATAATATTTATCCGAAATACTGAGTATTAAATTTTAGAATACTTATACAAAGAAAAAAAAAAGAACGAAAAAAAAAACTATTTACCACTTATGGAAATATAAAAATAGCCCCACACGTTAAATAGCATAATCGCATCATTATTATGAAATGAAAATTTCTTGAAATTTTCAATAAAGTAAGTTGTGCATCTTGTGAATAGTCTGCATAATTTTAATTTACGCTGTAATATAACATTCGTTTATGTATGTTTTATACCGAAATTCAAAAACTAATGATTTATCATGACAAAGAATTCTGTAGTCGATGTAGAAAATAATAGAAACGAAAATTTCACTAAACGGATTATAAAATTTTTTTCAATACCAAACAATGTCCGACTAATTATTATTATTATTATTATTATTATTATTATTATTATTATTATTATTATTATTACAGATAACATTAATTGTCTAGATAAGAAAAATTGTTGTAAAATAACGTTAAATAAATGTTAATGTAATAACTATTGTCAATAATTATTTATTATGCTAATTAATATCATTAATTACCTAATACCGCAAATTATTATAATCGTATAATTTTTATAAGAATAAAATTTCGAATTCTAATGAATGTATTTTTTTTTTTTATACAAATGCTTATTGATCGTCCGGTATAATTATATTACTGTTGGTTTATATTACTATATATTACTATAATTATATTATTATTGGTTTTTCTTTCATTTTCTATTCGTGCTCGTTGCTCGTGGAAATCTACATTGCCTGTTCGCCTATTTTTATACCAATTTTTAGAAGCGCATGTCTTCCTTCAATCCATCGCGAGGAAGACATTCATCCATTCGTATCTTAATCTCATCTGGAGGTTGACTATTTTCCGGCGGCTAACCTAATTCTAACCTCAGCACATTGGCTGCCGAGCGGTGCTTACGAATCTTGCGTCGTAATTTCCACGTTAATTGTATCTTGTGCTTTAAGCTATTATTTATAATAAAATGTCATTTATTCGGATTGCTTTAGAGCAATGTAGAAGTGCTAGACGCGTTGGATTGCAAAAGGTACAAGGAATTATTTGTTATCTTCTTACCATCTATTTATAACAAATAATCCTAGTAAATTTTTAGGTTACACTAGTGAGAGATATTTCGCAAAGTTGCATTTCGCATCAAGAATTACAAGAGGCAGTAAAAGATAATTCCTTCGAGTTCCGAAAGGAACATTTAATTAAGCCAAGCTCGGATAGATCATTCAGAATTCCTGTCGAAATTAGCATCAAATATCTTCAAAGCGATGGTACAGCCTTCTTATTATTGTCAATTGTCAATTGTCAATTTCTTAATTGTAATGTCGAATGCTCAACATTATTGCTTGCATTGGATTAATTACAATTTTTATGATAATTTCTAGCATACAAACATACGTACGGAGACAAACCAGTTTGGTTGATGTATAGGAGGAATTTCAAGGGTCACTTTCAACCTAAAAAAACTAGGAAAACATGCATAGTACATATTGCTCATTATATTTTGAAAAATGCTTTATGATATATTGACAGTTGATTTTCATTGTTTTAGAGAAATCAAGTTATCACCACAACAAACGCCTGCCCAATATGTAGAGATGAATATTTAGTATTAGATTATAGAAATATTTTGTTAATTAAGCAATTTATTTCTCCTATAAATGGTCAACTGTACGGTTACGAGTAAGAAGCAACATTAATTTTTGGAATACTAATTTTTAGTAACAGATAGTGGAAGCAAAATAATAAATTTTCATTTTTGTTGTAGAGCGAATTAAAATACGGTCAAATTCATTTATAGAAAATTGATTTTTTTTTTTTTTTTTTTTTTTTTTTTTTTTTTTTTTTTTTTTTTTAAATTATTTTACGAGTATGTTTTGGCAGTTGTAATATAAAAGAAATTGTGAAATTGAGGTGATTTAGATGGGGTAATATTCATAAATAGTATTTTTAATTTAAATCTCGATGATAATGTAACAGTTAAAATGTTAATATTTTTTAATAATTTTATAAATATAGTATCGAATGACTTTAATAATGTAATAATTGATAAGATGAAAAGTCCGTTATACCTCTAAATTGTATAAACGATTAATTAAAAGTCATTCCGTTTAGCTTCTATTTTATTCAATAATATAAGCAATGCTATTATTGAAAATATTATTGTAAAATTAATTTACAATAGCTCGCATTTAACATAAGACAGTTTTCAGTAAGTTGCTACATAATACTAATATTGTGATTTATCATTAAAATGTATTAATTTTGTAATAGTAGGATAATAACGAAGGTTCTGGTTGCGTGCTTATTTTTAATAATTTACCTTGGAGAATAATTTTCTTAAGTATAGTACATTGCAAATTTAATAAAATATTAGTTATAAAGATGTAATCGTTCATATGCTTTTACATTTTAGAAAAACTGGACTCTGTCAGATGCAGCATAAACAGCTTCTTTGTGCTATATACAATGCTAAAAATTATGGAACCATAAGTTTTGATCCTCCTTTCATAAAGTACGATTACACAGAATGGTATAAACCAGATGTTAAATGCACCCACGATCACTAGAAGCTGTATATATATTTTTAAAAATGTACAAAAGAATGCAAAATGAATAATATGGAAGCGACTTTTGTTATAATAGGCGGAGGCATTTCCGGAGTATCTTGCGCAGAAAGCATTGCATTTCTTGCGCCCAAAGAAAGCGTAATCCTAATAACGGCAAGTCCATTGATTAAATCTATAACCAACGTTCTGCCATTTGGACAGACATTAACTCAATTTGATGTAGAAGAGTGCGTAACAGAGTCGTTAAATAGCACCCATCCAACAGTAACTGTTATCAAAGATGTTGTGGTAAGAGTCGAGAAGAAGAAGAATAGTGTCATTACGGAAAAAGGAAAAGTTATAATTTATAAAAAATTATGTATTTGCACGGGGGCGCGGTCGAAATTAATTTTTGATAATAGCAAGATTATAGGAATTCGGGATACCGAATCGTTGGAGAATTTCTTGGAAAAATTAAGATCGGCAAAAAAAATTATCGTTATTGGAAATGGGGGAATAGCGATTGAACTGGTTCATGAAATAAATGGCGTCGATATCGTCTGGGTAATTAAAGATAAACATATATCGGCAACATTCGTTGATCCTGGTGCAGCAGAATTTTTTCAAGAAAAACTGTCGAAAACTAATTTAGATGTTAATAATCAAATTACCAAACGAATTAAATATACAGTATCGAAGGACGAATCAAAAGTAGGAGGATCGGCACTTGGTCCAGATTGGCGTAATAATATTGAGCTTAATGTTAATGTCAGTAGATTCGAACAAACTTCTGTGCAAGTCGAGTATGAGTGCGAAGTACTCAAGTTAATCGATCCTTCGGAAATACCCTCGGATAATGATAGAGAAAAATGGCCAATTTATGCCCAGCTGAGTAATGGAAAAATCATTGGATGTGATTTTATTGTTTCGGCAACTGGAGTAACACCAAACAGTAATATACCAGGACTGGAGTCCGTGAAAAGAGCCAAGGACGGTGGCTACGTTGTTGATTCGAACATGGAAACTTCTGAGAAAAATATTTATGCGGCTGGTGACGTATGTACGGTGGGATGGGAAATTGCTTTCCATTGGTTTCAAATGAGACTTTGGACGCAAGCTTTTCAAATGGGTCGTTACGCCGCGAAAGCCATGGTTTCCATGTTCAAGGGAGAAGACTTTTTTCAAGATTTTTGCTTCGAACTCTTTACACACGTTACAAAATTTTTCGGCTACAAAGTTATATTGCTCGGTTTATTCAATGGACAGAAATTAGATAACGAATACGAAATCTTACTGAGAGTAACAAAAGGACGCGAGTATGTCAAATTAATTCTTAAAAATGGAAAAATGCAAGGCGCGGTTCTCATTGGTGAAACGGACTTGGAGGAAGTGTGTGAAAACTTAATACTGAATCAATTAGACTTAAGTGCATATGGTGAAGATTTCTTAAATCCAGACATTGATATAGAAGATTATTTCGATTGAATCTACTTTATACTGCGTGATATTCTGCTAGAATTATTATTATGATAAAATAAAATACTATTGTAATATTAATGAAATATGAATAAAAAAAAATTTACGATATATAAGATGCGATTTACGTTAATTTAAATATTATAATATTATGACTTGTAAGTATTCAAAATTGATATTGACAGTTAAGAATATGTAAAGTCAGTTTTTTAAGAAGAAAAAAGAAAAGAAACATAAAGTAGAGATTACGTTTGTTTTTATAATAAATAAACGTTTATTAAAAAATTATACATAAAAAATACTCTTACGTATTCAGTCAGAACATTAAGTCATTACTTAAATTATCTTTGCAACGCTACTTTTTATTTATTTATTTATTTTTTTTTTTATTTTTTTTTATTTTTTATTTTTTCATTATTATTGCTTTATTATCATTTCAGTAAAAGCATACTTCTACAAGTTAATGATAAATAAAATACGGAATTTCTCAAGATTGTATTACAAAAATTGTAGTATTTATATTATTATTATTAAGTGAACTATATAACGTACAAAATAAAATAAAAAACTTAATATTTAAGTCTAATGTAATATTTCTCCTTTTTTAACATTATTCTCCATTAAAATTAAAAGAATATGTTTCATCTAGTCATTATTATATCCAAATTAATGCATCGTTACTTTCTTTCTGTACATCCTACGACTGTCTAAATCGTTAACTTTTGCTCCAAACTATCAAACAACTGTCTCGTATTCTATACATTTGCATCTGTCGCTTTACTCAACATTAGTTAATGTTAAATTTGACAGACCTAGACGCATTGTCGTTAGTAAAATAAGGACATGCACTACGAAGATTAGATTTCGCTGGCGATGCAACGCTTTTGTAGCAATATTTCTTCAGTATGTCTAAGGATTGGCCAGACTTATCGGCTTCGGCCTTATCGATCATAGTGTTATTCACATTGCTAACAATAGATATCTGATTATCGACACTGCCCATTGGTACAGCTTTGACCTCCAAAATTGTTTTAAGATGCTGCAAGATAATATGAACTTTGTCCAAGGCCTGAGTGACCTTGCCGCTTATTTCTCTGGACTCGTACTGATGGCAGAGTCCCTTCAACGTCTTCGATGCAAGTTCCATTTGAATTAAGCACTGATGAATGTCATCGCGACGTTTTTGCACTATTGACTCGGACGTGCAATCGACCGTAGAACTGTCGAGGAAGGACGCATCGACGGAAAATTGGCTCAAGCTTTCATTCAACTGTCTCTTAACGGGTGTCATATTAACTGATATTCGACTGCAGTATAAGGAGTCCTGTACAATATCGCTTTCTTCGAATGGCTCCCATTTGTCATCGGAATCTTGAAGTTCTTTTATCGAATGCTCTAGCTCGTGATCTCGTAGCTGATGAATCCAATCTAGGAAGCGTATAGGTTGCCAAAGGCTTTCAACCATGTTATCTTTGTCTCTGACCCGAATTACCGGTTGCAAGCCTTTATCGACCACTATTTGTTGCTGATGAAATTCCTACGATTAATTTACACATTAGGATTTGATTAAAGTCATTAACTACATGGAAATTAAATTGAAATAAACACTTACATAATTAACACCAACTTCTCTACACCGTCCAGTCGCTTCTCTAACTAATAACTGTATTTCGTGGAGACTAACTCCGCCAGTTTTCATTGCATCAATGCTCGTTTTGACGGTCAGCGCAGTTTGTACATCGGCGGTAGTTTCGTTCAATATTTCTTCGAGTTCCTGAAGGAAATTCGATTTATACGTCGAAATACTTATTTCAGAGTCCTCGATTTCTAATCTTCTTATCTTGTTGTTAGTTTCAATTTCACTCGCAAGCAGTTCTTTTTCGCGTTCGAGCTCTTTTTTCTTACGGTTCATCTCTTCTAATGCTGATTTTTGTTCTTCCAGACTACAACCCAATTGTTTAATTTCATCTTCGTAAGCTGATTTTTGAAAATCCAATTGCATTTCCACTTCCCGTTTCGCGTTCTCAAGCTCTTTCATAGCCTTTTGTTTCGACTCCTCAAGTTCAGCTCGTAACCTATAATACAAAGCATCATTATAACACTCCAGAGATGTCAATTGTTTCGTTAATAACGACAACATAAAAATACATACTTTTCTTCTTGAATGCGGAGCACTTCTTGGTGAGCAAAATCGAAATCTATTGGCTGAACGGACATTTGTATACCATCTTGCTCATCTAATGGATTGCAAACTTTGAAATAATGATTTCCACCAATAACTAATCGATCACCATGTTTCAATTGAACTTTTCCACGTGTCAGCTATTCCGTGAAATAATCGATATGATTTAAAATAAATAGTAAATTGTCATATATATATATATATATATATATATATATATATATATCGATATAATAAACACGCGAAGATAGAAAATAAGAGAAAGATGATGATTACATTACCTCTCCATTCACAAAATTTTCTCCATCTTTTTCAGGATAGAATGTTAATTTTCCATGATTATTTTCGATGGCGCTAGTAAGTTAAATATACATCAGTAAAAAATTCTTATACATATTTAAATATTAACAAATGCAAGCACATACATCATTCTTAAAATTAATTACAAGTGAATGAAAGTGAATGCCACTGTAAATTACATTCAAAGCACTAAAATCATTAATAGATCAATATTATTATTTTACCAAAAAATAAAGACTTTTGCAAATATATTGAGTGTATGCTTTTAATCCCAGGATATAATTACTTAATTGCGCATGCCATTGTAAATGCTCATTGATAGCAGATAGTTGAAGAGAAGAAATAAATATTATCCATATATTATAAATATTTATACAATATTAGAGGAAATTATCAAATATTTATTAATAGTGAGCATATTTTTTGGTGATAAAATCGAACGTGCAAATACATTTTTAATCTTGCATTTTGTCTCCAAAATGATGCTGAAAATGGTGAAAACTCATATACTGCATGCAAAATGATGATATCTATATCGAGTAAAATAAAAATATAGGAGCAAGCATTTGGCGCGCCAAAGTGAGGATGATAAAAATTAATAATAGTATAATAAGTTAGTAGCTGCGCAATAAGCACCGTATGAAGCTTTCAAGTGAATAAAAATATCCATTACATATTGATATTGGAATAAAAAAGGTTTTGCCTAATTTCTATAATGGTATTATTATAATTAAAGCTCATTCATTGCAATTTGATAGTAATGTCTCGACAGATTATTATTTCGTTGGAATTATGTAAACAAAAACAAAACAAAAACAAAATAAAATCAACTCGTAGTATAAATTAATAATCGAATTAAACAAATTTTTTATCATCGACCAAGTGATCGTTACCCGATTTATAAATTATTTTATTTTAATTTCTAGCCATTGAGCGTTTATTATTTCACAAAGCTTTATTGACATTCGTTACCATTACTTCAATATATACAATAAATACTGGCCGCTCAGCCTGTGAACGTATCCATCCATTAATAATAAAGTTATTGAACATAAATGGACATAAATGCTTTGTCATAGCTTCGGTCTATCGCAAACAGCTTCAAAGTATGTGAATTAATACACCAGGAAAGTAAAATACGAGCTTCCAACTAGGCTACGATGAAGCAAAATACCATTTGAATGAAAACCATTCGAGTGAAAACCATTTCTGTCCATCCTTCACCCGTCCTCTTCAAACTTTACGAGCCTCCTCCGATCGAAGCAAATTTTCAACGTCGAATGCAAACAAACAAAAACAAGAACCATGCAAATGATTTTGCCTCCAGTCGCTATCTATCCTCTCACTAACCAGTGCAGCGTCTTCATGAGTGGACCCTCTAGCACGATGTCGACTTTCTTGGCAGGCGTGCCGTACGTCGAGCCTCGACCCACGCGTACGCGACCTGGAGGAATGAGATACAAGAGCGTACCGGATAACATGGGATCGGCAGCGAGATTGACGAGAAACGGCTGCTTAGCGTTTTCCTGAAAGTCCAGCTCAATGGCAATACCGCATCGACGGAGATGCGTTAGCTCGCTGTTTTTCTTCTCTTTGGCCTCGCGAAGTTTCTCCTCCCAGGATCTACAAGTGTGTTAAGGTAGTGCGTCGATTAGAATAATGAGCGGTCCAACCGAACCACCAATCGGTTAATCCTTATTGCATTATTGCAACTGTATTGAAGCGTCTATTATCCTTAGTAAGCTAGGGACCTCCGATTCATCCATCCTCTTTACGTGTACACATAAAGTCACGGTAATACTTTTCACTCATAAGGAACTAAAGGCATGCATAAGGGAATTAATTGTAGGTGAAATATTAATTGGTGACACGTTGAAAATAATGCGGTAATAACGAATGTATTACTATTGTTATTATTATTGTTATTGTCGTCATTATTGTTATCGTCATTATTATCATTATTGTCGATTTCGTTGTTTTGATTGTTGTTATTATTATTAGTTTAGTGGGGGGGGGGGTAAGAATCGTGGAAAAAATTAACATTCCAATGTTAATTTCAATTTCAATCGTTAACATTATGAATAAGTTATTGAATTAAACATTATTCGAGGATCTCTAGCGAAAAGCGAATTCCAATATTACACAAATAATAAGAGAAAGTTTGGAGTGATTTATAGAATAAACTTCATTAACATAATCATTACCTTTTACTGTCTCAATATAGAGAAAACAAAAATTGTCTTTTTAAATTTCACTCTGTAAAATAAAAAGAATTTTATCTGATCCGTGTAAATTATCATTTCGATTAGATCCTGCACATTACATTTGGTCTTATATAATATACATTTCTTCAGGCAATACGAAAATCTTTTAATTTGTCAATCCATAAGGCATTAATAATTTGAAAAAGACAGTACTGATAAATCACGAATCGTCTACTCACTTTTGGCTAACAAAAAGCTGCTCTTCCATTTTTTTCAATTGATATTTCAAACGATCGATTTCTCGCTGTTTATTTACAGCTTCTTCCGAGCTCTCGGATGATGATTCAATAGTGTCAAGTAATTTCCGAGGAGTCAATCCTAATTGCTTCTCGTATCCATCTCTCATGCTCTTTAATCGCTGAACTTCCGCCTTCAATTGTCTATTTAAAAATATCAAAGCTTTACTTTACAACATAAAATTGTTTCTTTTTTGTTAACGTGTATACTGGTCTTATTATTGGCTGATAAATTTATGCCTTTCAAATTATATTTAATAATTAATGATATACCACTCGGCAATATTATCCCAAAACGTGGGTAATTAATATAAAAATCATATTAAATTATCATGTTACATTACACTGTAACTCATAAAAAATTATTTTTACTCAATAAACAAAGCGTGAATTAATAAAAAATGAAAGTCACTTACATTATTATTAATATATTTTTATTTGATAAATATTTAACGTAAGATATAATAAATATGAGAAAAAAAATTATCTACATTTAATTTACCGCTAACAATTCATAATCGATTATAATACTTTAAATTTACAAGAGAATTTAATGATTTGTTTAATGTGCACAATAAAATGAAACAATTAAAAACAATCGTTATCTCGATTATACATATGCTTATTGTTAATTATTATTTTTCCTATAAGATAATAGGAATAACAAAAAAAAAAAAAAAAAAAAAAAAAAAAAAAAAATGGAAAAGCACGCCAGAAAAATAAATTAATAAATAAATAAATAATAATATTTTAACCTAAAATTATAAAATTTTAAAGGGTTTATTGAGGTTACCTTTACTGCTTTATTAATATCTCAAATCAATAATACAATTTCTACACACCATTATATGGTAAAATATATGTCGTGAAACAAAATTAGTTCAATCCATTAAATAAATAATCACTAAACATTTTATTAATTATTTCTGCAGTAATTTAAATTCTACGATTCATATATACGTATGAATTCATATAGTTAAGTCAACAAAAAATAGTTGCTATATGTATCAACTAGATTTTTCATTTTAAATTACTCCACGCGCTTAATAATAATTATACCAATAAAACAATAAATCGTTTTAATCTGAAGAATTTTTATAAAATATAATAGCATAATTTAGATTTATTTACGTAGGTTATGCCGAAATCTAATGTAATTACACAAACATTTGACAAAGTCCTATAAGACTTATGTTTAATTAAAATTGCTATAAATATTATAATTAATTTGTTAAGTGAACTTTAAAGTTCATGAAATTTAACGTTAAAATATAAGAATTTACATTACAATTTTACAATTATTCTAAATTACAAAATTTAATTAATACCATTTTTTTTATACACTAAATTAAAAAATTACGTATTCATTGGTCTTTATTAGTATTTTATGTTGTTTAAAATTTGTATAAACTTTTTTTTTTTTTTTTTTTTTTTTAAGAAGCTTAATTTGTAATATTCGTGATTAATATTCTTGAAATAATGGATATTAATATATTATCATTATCCAAACACCATATTTCATCATAATTTAAGATTTAGGTACATACTACTTCATAATACTTCCAATAAACTGAATATTTAATTTAGATTGGTGGCAAATATTTAATTTTCAATAATAATAACATTTTCCTTATTAATTTTTTGTTTTAAGATTAAATTTAAAATATCTTTTGTAAGAACTATGATACATACCGTATCAATCTATCATTAGGATTTTCATTGATTCGAATTCGATTAACGATAGCTCGAGCCTGATATGCATATCGAAGAGTCGCCAAAGTTTCTTCCAAATGTACATTTGCTGGAGAAATCGTCCCCAGCATAGCGGTTCGTGAGTTTCCTCCAAGACTTTCCTAAAAAAAATGAATAAATACATGTTCGGGCACTTATTACATTAAATTTTTTTAAGATAAGCACTTGAATTAGCGCAACAGAATTTCTCGTTTCAAAAAGCAATGAATTACGTGGTAAGTAATAACGTAATAATAATAAAGGTAAATTGAATTGTTAAAATGTTCGATCAGTAATTAATTAGAGAGTTGTAAGACTTGGCAATTAAAAAAAAAAAAAAAAATAATAAATTTCTCTACTGAAACAATAATCTATTTGAATGTATATGAAATTAATGAAAAAAAAAAAAAAAAAAAAACAATAGATAATCGGTAGTTGCTGTCTAATTACTATATAGTTACTGTATAATGGTCTGCCAATACTATATAAAAATGCATTCATTTATTAATTGTATTAATAATTATTTATATTATATCTGCACTACGTTATAATAATCTTAATATTACACCAATTTCTACCTCTTTTATGTCAATAAACGAGTAATAATTGTAAATTAATCATAAAATGGGAAACGGCAAAAATATTGTAACACATTAAAAAAAGGTTCATTAAAAAATGAATGATAAAATAAATAAATAGTAATATTGTGTTTTGTTCCGTGCATGTAATCTGCATAAATAAATGCAAGTGCTAGAAATTTCAAACCTTACTAAACTGTTTACAAGACAAAAATATACCAATGGAAAGTAATACAATGACACACATTAATCCATATACGTGTATTGGCCAAATATTGTTTAAGCACATTATTGTAGAGTGATGATTTTTTTAAAACACATCGATTATCAATTATTAGTAATAAGCATGTTTTGATAATAAATTATGTCCGTTCAAAATCATCGTCTTAAAAAGCTCTACAAGATCTTATCGCTTATTTTATTGATAAGAATATAAATGCACTGTTCAATCATACAACATATCATTTTCAAATCACAAAACTATTTACGTGCATGTGCGCATGTGTGCGCGTATGGTTAAGCGATTCTTTTATATAATTAAGATATTTGAATGTACACCTCCTAAACGTAAATATTTTCGATAATAAATATGAGTTTAAATATATAGGCACAACTCATAATCCGCAATTTTTACGTGGCAGACAATCTTCGGTTATCTGACCATCTTATACATTATAATGAAATAAATAATATATAATGCATATTGCAATATAATTTGTATCAAAATAATAGAGATAGTTTGATTGGATCTAATGAATATACGAAGAAAAATATTGTTCAATATAAATAAAACAATTGCTAAAATGAATCAAATACTTTATTGTAGTGAATTTATTTAATGGCGTGTATGAAATATAAATATTTACAAGTATATTGAAATATTTATACATCCTATTAATTAGATATTAATATTCATTTTATATATATATATATATATATATATATTATAAAATTAAAATCACAGTCACTATTGAATGTATTCCAGTATAATTAAAAAATGTATAAGCTCATCTGTTTTTATATCAATTTTTTCTTTTTTTTTTTCATTCTTTTTAAAATATTTCGGAATATTGTCATAACTGTAAACAGAATCATTAAATATATATATATATATATATATATATATGGTCTATTGTATATATTATATCTTTGACATTTATACAACAGTTTAGCTTAAAATACAGTTATAAAAGTATTACTCAATTCAATAAACAATAAATATTTCGTCCTTATATATTTTTGTGTACGTGCAGAAAAATGCATCTTATGCTCTTTCTTCTACACTGTAAAAGGAATTATAGAAAACATAAGAATGGATTTCTATATTACTTTTAGATTATCCCCTACAATAAATCGAAATTCGTTTATTTTATAAATGAAATTTATTCAATTTATGTCATCTATAATAAGTGTAGGTCAAATGACATTCTCTCAAATATTTAAGTATAAAGTAAAATTATCGGTTTGTTAACACTGATAATATATAGTCACACGTAAAATTGAAATATACAAAAATTTGAAAAATTTAATCTTTATATTTATTTTTCATATAGATTAAATTTATGAGCCCAAAAAAAAATAAAAAAAAAAGAAAAGAAAAAAAAATATACGAATTACGTTATTTTTATTTGGTACTTTTAACGCAAAATTTAATTCAACGACAATGGAAATAGTCCCGTAGTGTGTAGGGGATTCTTATACGTGCATAAACGAACATATTTATTAAACAATTTTTTTTATATTTTATATATAATTTCCACACGCGTCGATCAATAAAAAAAAAAGTTTAAATAACGATTTCTCAGAATATTGGTTATAAGCGACACGAGTGAATTGAAAAATTCATTTATCGATCTTATGTAAACATAATTGAAGGCTATTTGGTAGAACATTATCGCAATGTAAATACAAGTTCTAAAATCGCAAGATCAAATATATCATCTTATGTTATATTACTTCACTACGTATTTACATGTTAGGTAAAACAAAATGTACTTATTTGCAAATTACATTAAATACACCAACGACGAATAATTTACATCTTACCTATCTATTTTTCATTCTTATAGTACTGCTAATAGTAATTTACGAAATAATTTGAAATATTTTAATTAACAAACATAGCGTAATAATTAATAGGTTTATAAAAAACAAAAAAAAAAAAAAAAAAAAAAAAAAAAAAAACTGTTATTCTTAAGGTGTTCTATTATTTTAATCGAACGTCCAAATTATTGATAAAGCATCGTTATATATTTATTTCTGCCGATTAAATAGAATCGACAAATTAAAAAGAATATAAGAAATGTTTAATAAATTCGAGTTTATCTACGAGAATTTTAAACTTTAAATAATAAGGACGTTTTCCTCGTCCTTTCTATTGTACGTAAAGATAAAAAGTTTCTTAAAGACACCTCAACACCCCTTCATAAAGCAATTTATGAATTAAACTTTTATCTATAACACATTATTTTGTATGTTAATCGAGCAATAGTATTTTATTTTCATTTACAAATAATGAAAATAGATCATCGATTCATTTAATGGACAACGATTTGCTTCCGAAATTTAGGTATTTCCAATTAAACGATAACAAATTTTTTTTGGGAAAGTACTAATTTGTTCGTCACATTTATTTTCCGTGATAGCCTTATCTAAAACTTGCGCAAAACATTTGTTTTATAACTTTCACTTGGATGTAATTACAAAATGTCGCTTAATTTTTAAGGTCAACAAAAGTACATCATACATTTACAGTTTGTTCGAAAATGGTAAATGAGATGGCAATTTAAAGTGAAACAAACAAATTTGCACAATATTTGCATAGCTTTGAAGCTATTAATTTGTTAAACGATTCATGATTTTAATGTAAATAATATAAATTTAAATATAGCATGAAAGCTTAAACTGAAAATATCAATTTGAATTTTACTCAAAAACGTTTATTTCAATGTTTATTTTTTTTTTGTGCAGATATTGTAATAGTTCAAGACACAATGAAAATGATTTCAATAATGAATTGTTGAGTTATAAAAATTTTAGTTTCGTGTCAATATTTCGATTTTTAAGACTAATTTGAGTTTCGTAACATTTTTGTTACACAAGTGGTAATCATAAAAATATTAAAACTGTCAAAATAATTATAAGTTTTATCATTATCATAAATATTTTTTAATTTTTATAGTATTCATATTAGAGTTAAATAATAATTAATATTTATAAAACGTAAAAGATTATCCTCTTTTTTCATTATTAATTTATTTCAAAATTAAAATTTGTAAATTATAGCAAAAAATATTTTAATAGTTAGATTATATATTAATATTTTTTATTTTTTAATTAAGTAAAATTTGTCATCATTATGGTAGTATAATTATTAAATAAAAAAAAAAAAAAAAAAAAAAAAAAAATATATATATATATATATATATATATGCTATTCACAGTTAATATTTAATAACGAGTATCACCAATTATTTAAATAACGCAAATATAAATATAATGTTATTATACATTTCAAGATCATTTTGTTTACGTCAATAATATAAATATCTAAATATAAAGAAAAGATTCTATAGAAAGACAGTATTTGTCTGAAAATATAAATAATTTTTACTTACAAGTAGTCAAAAATTTACACATAAATGCTAATGAAAAACAATTACTTCAAATATTACAAATGTTTAATTTATCTATTTGGTTTTCCAAATTTATTAAGTGTCTAATATACCAAAGTCGAAAAACGGATGATCGAAAGAATCCTTTATATAATTTATAAGATTTATTATCTCTGTAATAGTTCAAATATGATAAATTAGAATATATTATTAATGAATATATTATTAATCGACGTTATAATCTAAATAAAGATGTGCAATTTTTCACTAATTCATCAATTACGAATTATGACTCTTGATAGTATTTTTCGGTATTTGTTCAATATTTATTATTACGCGACGATTATATTTTTAAATGCCAGATAATGTGTAATAAACTGATCAAACTAGTAAACAACTAATACATTGAGATGTAAATTTATTACGCACATAAGTTAATAATTAGTTTTACGTATCTTAATACCAGTAAATTCTTTATACCAATCGATTCTAACAAATTAATTCTAAAATATTAATTACATTATTAAGACAAAATAAACTTGATTAAGAAGATAATAATTTATAATTTAACATTCTATCTCTTTTAATTTAATTTTATTTCGCAAGACGTTACTGATAATAAAATATAAATAATTATATCATAAAACAGTCTGTAACTGATAAAATATTAATATTGCAATTAACGTCACAATGTTTTTAAATAATGTTTATTTATCCACAAGCAGAGTATTTTACTTTATGCCACTAATGATATATTTACATTTAAATAGTTTACAAAAGCATTATTTATATGCTTTCAAGTAAGATGATTAGTATACAGTTATCACTGTATGGAATTTGAATTATTATGCTGTCAGTATATTACATATAGTTTCAAAACATTACTTTCTAGCTTTAATTATCTAGAGTTGATTTAAGTTTGTAATATTT